ACGATGCACCAAACACCGAATCCACGAAGTGGCAAGGACGAAGCAAGAAGCATGAAGCACAGAATCCACAAAAAAGCACGATCCACAATGCTTCACGAAAGCACCAAGCACGTACCACAAAGCAACGAAGCACGGACCACTTACTACAAAGCACCAATGCGGGGGGGGGGAGAGAGAGAGAGAGAGAGAGAGAGAGAGAGAGAATGCAGGCGGGACTAAGCACGTCGAGCGGGTGGGAGTAGGCCCCTGGCGTAGCAAGTAGGCGAAAGCAGGATCGTAGGCGCGGGAGAAGAGAAGGCGTGGGGTGGCCGTAGGCGCGTCGAGTACCGGCCGCCCCCAAAAACCCTTCCACAAAAAACGACTGCTGCCTCTCTCTCTCTCTCTCTCTCTCTCTCCTAGCGGGACTCCACATCGAAGCTCACGTATGACCACTTCGCAGGAACTCACGATTGATGCTCGAACCACCGATCCACGCAGCACCGATTCACGAAAGCACCAACTCACAACACCGAATCCACCACGAATTCACGATGCACCAAACACCGAATCCACGAAGTGGCAAGGACAAAGCACAAAGCATGAAGCACAGAATCCACAATGGACGAGCACGAAGCATGAAGCACAGAATCCACAATGGATGAGCACGAAGCATGAAGCACAGAATCCACAAAAAAGCACGATCCACAATGCTTCACGGAAGCACCAAGCACGTACCACAAAGCACCGAAGCCCAGACCACGTGGGGGGGGGGGCACAGAGAGAGAGAGAGAGAGAGAGAGAGAGAAGAAAGAGAGAGAGAGAGAGAGAGAGAGAGAGAGAGAGAGAGAGAGAGAGAGTGCAGGCGGGACTAAGCACGTCAAGTGGGAGTAGGCCCCTGGCGTAGCAAGTAGGCGAAAGCAGGATCGTAGGCGCGGGAGTACGCGTGGAGAACTCACGATCCACACGCGAACCACCGATCCACGCAGCACCAATTCACGAAAGCACCAACTAACAGCACCAAATCCACCACGAACCCACGATGCACCAAACACCGAATCCACGAAGTGGCAAGGACGAAGCANACGATGCACCAAACACCGAATCCACGAAGTGGCAAGGACGAAGCAAGAAGCATGAAGCACAGAATCCACAAAAAAGCACGATCCACAATGCTTCATGGAAGCACCAAGCACGTACCACAAAGCACCGAAGCACGGACCACGTACTACAAAGCACCAATGCGGGGGGGGGGAGAGAGAGAGAGAGAGAGAGAGAGAGAGAGAGAGACAGAGAGAGAGAGAATCCAGGCGGGACTAAGCACGTCAAGCCGGTGGGAGTAGGCCCCTGGCGTAGCGAGTAGGCGAAAGCAGGATCGTAGGCACGTCGAGTACCGGCCGCCCCCAAAAAACACTTCCACAAAAAACGACTGCTGCCTCTCTCTCTCTCTCTCTCTTAGCAGGAATCCACATCGAAGCTCACGCCGGACCACTTAGCAGGAACTCACGATC